GTCAGAACAAAATAAATGTGGGAGAGAGAGCAGTGCAAACATAATTCCTATAATTAAGTATGAGTAAATTGTAGCTATGGTCCCTTAACTTTAACTCAATTGGAGCAATGGTCCCTCAACTAAAAATCCATTACCTTTGGTCCCTCAACTTATCAAAACGTGTAGCTATGGTCCCTCAACTAAAAATCCATTACCATTGGTCCCTGAACTTTAATTCAAGTGGAGAAATGGTCCTTTAACTTTAATCCAATTGTAGCAATGGTCCTTACAATATAACTCGTTTTGACAAATTTTTTGACATAGTTGACGAAAAGAACCATAATTATACACTTTGATGAGTTGAGGGACCCTAATTATATAAATGGTCATTCCAACATAGCTTATTTTGACAAAATTTTGACAAAATTGATAAAAAGAACTATAGCTACACATTTTGATAAGTTGAAGGACCAATGGTAATGGATTTTTAGTTGAGGGACCATTGCTCCAATTTGATTAAAGTTGAGGGACCATTTGTACAATTTACTCAATTAAGTATAGTTCAATTTGGTTCTTCTAATAATCTGGAGAAGCATCTCCCAATCTCATTGACATTGCACAGCCCACAAAAACAAAACAGTAGAAAGCATTGCCTGCCGGCAGTGGCAGCAGCCTCTAACCCACTAGCGGTGCTAAAAAACTGACGTTTAATGCACGGAATCCACCAATGGTGACGGACCCAACCTAAATTTTTAAGAACCAATAATTATAACAAAAAAATATATGAAAAAATTAAGAATTATAACAAAAAAATATATGAAAAAATTAAGTTAACTACCATAAACAAAGAAAAAAACAGAATAATAATTCTGGAATTTGTCCAATATTTAGCAGCAGATTTTCAAGATTTCAAGCAATATATTTTGCACCCAAATGCTAATAACCAATTAATAATCCAATTTATCTTTTGCGGGCAAAGATATGGAAGGAAAAAAGAAAATTGTATTGTAATTTGTTTCTGGGAAATACAAATCCACATTTTTTCACAAATTCGAAACCAAAGTTAGAGGTACCTCTTGGAGTCCATCTTTAAGCCATCTCTGATGATTGTCAGCACTCGCTCGAACCTCTATTTATCAATGGAAGACTGGTCGGGAGCATCGCGAACTTCTTGAACTCTTCTTGGTCTTGGCTTCCTCATGGATCACAAGGGTGGCGTCATCTCCATCGTCGATGATCAGATCGGAATTATAAATTGAGAAAATAGCAAAGAGAAAATGACATGAGATATGTAGAAACTTGTAGAAACCGTACAAAAGCATTTTTTATTTCGTCTGAAGTGAAACGGATTAAATAAACAGGAGAAGGTGTTGTCAGGGTATAATTGGAAACTCATTCTTTGGGTCAGTTTTATTAGGCTGATTTAATGTTGGGTTTGTCCTAACCATTAGATAAAATTAGTAGGTGGTTTTTGGTTAAGATTAAAAGTTGTGAAGCCCTTTTCATTAATTTTCCTAAAGAAAAAAGCACGCAATTAATAAAAAATAAAAAATAAAAATCTCCTAGGACCGCCTAGGACCGCCTAGCCCGCCTAGGCCCAACCTGATTTTTCTGCTCGATTTACCCAAAAACGCCTCGGTTGCTAGGCGCCCAGCGCCTAGGGCATTTTTTAGATCACTGTATATGCTATAGAGTTGCAGATTATGTAAAATTCCAAAATCAAATTTAACCATTTCAAGTCACATGTATTCTAATGTCAAATTCCAAACTTCCAAGCTACATATTCTAATGTCAAATTATGGAACTTCAAATTTATGATAACAAGTCTGACATAGTCTAACAAGAAAACATTCTCTCATGAACTTGATGTTTGTCAAAACCATTGGAATCTTGATGTGAAGTCTAAAATAATCAGAATTAGGAGTTACAAGCATCTTGATGTTCCTCAAAGCCACAAGTAAAGGCATCCTGCATTACATGAAATTTAACTTCAACAATGAATTTACACAAATACCTAATTCAAAGCAAAGGGTAGAACGAAAAACACAATACCTGATTCAAATGTGTCATACAATTTTGACTTTGTAGCGTATTGGTGAAGGTAAAGTTTGATGCGACCAATTGTAGTTGGGACTTCGAAAGAAAAAAGAAAATTGTAATATATAAATATTGAGAACACCAACACAAATTTCAAACCTATAAACTTGTTTACCTGATTAGATAAAGGCAAACTAGTATGGACATTGGTGGTTGACAATCTCGTGGTTGGATAGAACTACAAACATTGATACGAGACCAAACATAAATAATTGTGCATTGGTGGTTAGTACACTCAATGTTGGATAGAGCTACAAACATTGATACGATACGGAACATGAATAATCGAACAAAATTTATAAAATCTTGCTAAAAATATAGGGGTGTGCTATCCACACACCCCTTGATAATTTATGTCCGTTGATCTTCTTCAATTCATCCGATCCAACGGCCGAAAATTAAAAAGATGTGTGAGAAGTAAAATGGGGTGTGTGGATATCACACCCCAAAATATAAACTAGTTTACCTGATTAGGTGAAGGGAAACAAGCATGGGAATTGGCAGTTGGCATGCTCTTAGTTGGATAGAACTACAAAAAATTGGTCGATATCGAATATGAGATGTTGAAAGTTGAGGCGTTGAATTTGACAACATAAAATGTTATGTGACCCTCCACATTAAGTTCAAAGGTTTGGAGGGTTCCATCACTTCCAATTTTCACGCATTTTTACTGCCAAACTACCAACAAACTTATACTCAAGAAATTTATAAATTTTTCTCGTGTAGACACTTGCAGCATGTTTAAGAAAACTACTGTTTTTAGATGTTGTATAAGGCAAACCTTGCTTGCAACGAAAGGTTTCTTCTAATTCTTTTGAACGCATCCCGTTCGCTTGTTTTTCATAATGAAGCACAAATTCAGTAAGAGTCATCGTTTTAGTAGACATACGATGGAAATCATTATTCATGCTCTCACTTCTTTGTGTGGATTTTATCCTCACAGAGAAGGCATCTTGGCTAAACATTGGACACCACTTATCACGAATGGCATAAAAGACTTTTAAGCCATTTGTTTTGTGCGACGTTAAATTCCTTAATCATTTCATCCCAAGTATGCTGAAATTCTAACTCTGTTTGACATTCGTCAAGACACTTGTTGAATAGCCTCTTGAACTCAGGGATTCCACAAAGTGTTGGTATATTTCTTGTAGCATTCGTTGATATATGCCATATGCATAAACGATGGCATGTCCCAGGAAACACCACCATAATGGCATTTGCCATAGCTTGACACTGGTCAATGAAAATGGTTGTAGGCTTTTGATTCCCCATTGATTCTAAGAATGCCTCGAACAACCATTCAAATGTAGCAGTCTTCTCATCCAACAAAAAGACACAACCTAGCAACACATTGCTCCAGTGATGGTTAACTCCAACGAAAGGAGCACAAATCATGTTGTACTTATTGGTTCAATATGTAGTATCAAATACTACTACGTCCCCCAAAGCATTCATAATCAATTCTGGACCTTCCATCCCTCCATAAAAAGTTAGTCATTCAGTTTTATTGATCAACTTGCACCGTGTAAAAGAACATTGGATCTTCAGCTTGCTTGCACTTAAAATGATTGATCAAGCTTTGAGCATCCCCTGCTTCAAGCATAATTCTTTTTTCCTTACTAACAAAATTGTAGCAATCTGTTTTCTTAAACCCAATATTTTGAGACCCGCCGACTTCTTCTGCTAAATATGAGTCCGTATTTGTAGTTCTTACACCTACATTCACCATGGTTTTAATCACACTCGTATGAGCTTTTGAAATTTTACAAGTTGATTGTAAAAATTGTCTTTCCTCTTTTATTGCAAGTTCATGATTGTGTTTAGGATCAAAGGTAGAGACTTTCCACACACCATATTCTAGTAAAAATCGAATTTTGGCTTGGCAACCTGTTCTCTCGTCCAATCTCTTAGTCTGTTTCTCTTCACAAGGGTTACTATCTTGTCGAAAACCTTCTTTAGAACAACAAAAATTAAGTGCTGCAAGATCTACATTTTTGTCATATCTTCTTTGTCTCTTTCGAATGCTAAAGCCAATGCGTGCCGTATACTCATTATAGAGATCATAAGCTTCTTGCTCATTTTTCACAATCTTTCCATACAAATCTTCAACATAATTTTCTTCAAGATTTACAATAGGTGGAGTTTTTTCTTGAGCATTGCATTCAATATTTTCTTTATCACTTTCAACATCAATGACTGAATTATTCATTGAGAGATCATTTTTACCATAATATAAGCCAAAAATTTCATAAAATATCGACCAACAATAATCATATTTTATAAAAAATAATATCATGGCCAATAGCAAAAAAGCAGTGTTCTATAATCATGCAAAAATGTTTAAGAGCTCACACATACAACTTATTAAAAGGAAAAATCAAATACCTTCGTCTGAGTTTGAGTCTCCATCCATAATACCTTGGTATGGGTTTGAGTCTGTGAGAAATTGAGGGAATTCTTGTTATTTTTCAAAGAAAGAAAAGAGGGAATTGAGTCTGTACAACTTCCCTCAAAGTTACTGACGGCGCAAGAGCTTTTTAATTGAAAGAAAGAAACGGAGGATGTAACATAGTTAAAACTTAAAAGGCGTCTTTTTGTTTTTGACTTTTCAGCTTCTCCAAGTATGATTAAGTGAGCAAATGATAAAATCTAGCTGTTAAAACTTAATATGTTGGGATCACCACCTACCTTGTTAAGGTCTGTGTTTCCGTCACCTCCAAAAATTTCTCCAATTCTTGGGTGCACCGTGCACCTAGAACCTCTTACCAATCAATGGGCTGAGGGTATCTCTCCGAACTGAATAAAATAGCAAGTAGCCCACTTTGTGAAACTCAAATCATGGGCCGTCCAATTTCTATTGAGCATGATTCGCCAAAGATTGAAATCCAACGGTTACAAGTAGCTAATAAAATAGCTCACAACCTAGACGGAGGAGGAGAGAGCAATTGTTGAAGGAAAGCGAAAAAAAAAAAAACTCAGAGAAATGAGGAAGTTCGATCCATGGCCGATTTTCTTCAAGCGAGAGTGGAACCGGAACTGGCCATTCATCGTTGGGTTCGCCATCACCGGGACCCTAATCACCAAGTTCTCTCTCGGCCTCACTGGTAAGCTGTCCCCCTCCCCCTCCGATCTGCGATCTGTTCGTTTCCAATTCGAAATTCGAAACCCTAATTTTCGTTGACCCATTTGTTTTGTGTTAATTTATTCGCAGAGGAAGATGCCAAGAACTCGCCTTTCGTTCAGAGGCACAAGAGGTAGCTTTTCTTCTAATCCGTTGATTCGTTAGGCCGTAGATAAAGAGAAAATAGTTATCATTCAAATGCAGTTGATTGATTATCTGGTAATTGTTACAGCGCGTGAAAAAAAATTAACTCTTTCGAGTTTTCGTTGAAACTTTTGCTGATTGTTGCATTGGGTGTAATGAATGGCATCTAGATCCTAGTTCTGTTACTATAATTGATTGCTTTGTTGTTTCTTTAATATGCGGAAACATCATTTTTAGGTAGGAAGTTTGGAATCATGAGTGAACTTTGTTAATGCTCTGGTATATGGTGTTGAGTCCAGGAGTAATTTACTTGCGAGGATTTTGGTACACATTTTGTTTATGGCAAAAACTTGAAAACCGATGTGTTTTCTCAGCGCTTATAGTTCAGTTTTTAGAAAAAGAACAAGGCATTAATGCATTTAGTTGGTCGAGATTACTTCCAAACGTGGTTTAGAATCAGATGGTCAGACTTGGTCTTCTGCTGCTAGATCATGCATTGATCATCTCAACTCTACCAAAATTGTTGTAAAAGTCACTTGGACATGAAAGCCCATACTTATCCGTTTTTGAATTCCTTTTTTCGGCCAAAAACCAAAATTTTGAATTCCACCATGAAAACCATGCAGTTGAGTTGTAAACTCTCTGTGGGCCGGGGATAATTGGTTACACAATTTTTGGTACTCGTTGCATCCTGAGTTCTTTCTAAAATTTTATAGGTTTTTTTGTACATTTCCTAGTATGATGAGTTTCATATGTATTGGGTATGGAGATTTTGAAAATGCTAAAGTGATGAGTTATTTAAAACATTAACCTGCATAGTTGCATGTTAACAAGGGTTTGAAATTTCTAAAGGATGCGCTAGACGAGTCTAAATTCCCAACATTCAGTTAAGGATATATGTCAAATGGATACCTTTGCAGGACATGATCGCTGCAATGCTTTTACGTATACCAGGGGGTTGTCCAGGATACAATGTTTCTGCTTCCCTTGGGATCTATCGGCATAGATATAACCTTAAATTGGATTGCTGTAGTTTTCTCTAGTGCTTGTTCTTTTAATTTTTGTTTTTATAATCTGATCTTTCTATTTTGGTCAGTCTTGGTTTTTGGCATGTACCGTTTGTGCATCGTCAATAGCATGCCATTGCATTGCTAGATATAATTTATGAGTCTGTTGTATAAATTCTTTACTTAGTTCTTCATTTGTTTTATAGGTGATTTCTGAATGCCGTGGTAGCCACCTTTGTACTCGAGTTGTGGAGGTTCTCGTGCTATTTTCAAGGACTATAATAACGAAAGAGAGATGTTCTAGATACTCTTTTTGAGTTTTCTGTTATGTTTTGAATGACTTGAATAACATGAGAAGAAAAGACTGCTATTCGTTGGTTTTGAATTTGGTGCATTCGCCCGACATTCTTCAAAAATGAAACAAAAGTTGTGTTACATAGTCATGTTATTTTTACAGGCTTATAGCGAAGTAGTGTTATCGCGTCGCTTGTTTCTGGTTTTGTGATTTCTTTCCTGTTTCTAGTTTTGTGTCAGCCCTCTTTCAGGACAAAAAGTTCTATATGCTTTTAGATGTGCTGTGGAATGTGGCATCGCGGAGTCTTGGGAGAAGAAATTTATTAGGTAGTGGCGACCGGCAGGGGAAGGGGATCACCAAATTATGACATCTTGAAAGTTGAAAATGCCTAGTCTGCGCATAACTTGCCTTCGTATAAGTTGGGATTTTGTCTACTGAAATCCATGCAAGCTTCGGATAAGGGTCACTAGGAAATCTTTTGAGTTATTTCTGGGTTGAGTTTACTGTGTAAGGAGTCATTCTTCTTTATTGGCAATTACAGTTGTTGAGAATATCGTGTTTAAGAATGGGAAAAACAAGAATAAACTCTGAAAATTGAAAAACAATTAACCAAGATAAATAACACCAAGAATTTATGTGGTTTAGCAATATGTGCCTACGTTCACGGGACAGCAACTACAATCCTTCACTATATCAATGATGAGTACAACCAATAATCTTGCCAAATCTCTATAACTAGGACTTGACGAAAAACCTGAAAGAACAAGAACAAGAAATACACCATCTCTTTTCTTTTCTCTCGCACACGCTTGGCCCCTTCATTCAAAACTAGTACAATAGCTCACTTATATAGATATAATAAGGGTCTTCTTCAATCAGGATTATTAATCTTAATTGGAAACTAGTTATAAAACCTACTCCAATTGGGAAAACAATTTAATCCTCCAAGACTATTAATTCCCAATAGACTTAGGACAACTTATCATGAGCTGAAAAAAACCCAACAACAGTCCGGTTCGACATGCACATTTTATGTTTAGTGATTCCTCCTTACCTAAAAATCTTACTAAATCAGTCTCAACACGCCCGTTATTTTTCTTCTACCGAGTTACTTTTGTTCGTATAAAAAGTCATTCCTTCTTACTAACAAATATAGCTGGAAATGCAAAATTTCCCCTTTGTTGATTCCTCCTTATGACAAATCTTACACATGCATGAAGAGAAATGATGTTTTACATATATTTTTTGATCGAAGACAAAACATGTGTGTCCATCCCATGCGTTAACGTTGCAATGAGGGATTCAATTGAATTTAAATTATGAAAAACTAATGAAAAGAGCTTGAAAACTTTGAGTTTTAACGATAAGAACAAAATAAAGACTAAAGTGAATAATACCAAGTTTGACTTTTTAATGTAAAAACCATTTCGTATTTTCTATTGTAACACAATGAAATAGAACAAAAACAAGAAGGAAGCACACGATGTGGTTACGGGAATCATCTAAGACGCTTATACGCCACATTGTCAAACACATTCCATAACCGAGAGCTCAAACCCCGCCGGGGTTTATATTTCCGGCTATGCAAACAGACAATCATTTCTTTTCGTTTACCCCAAGCCTCAATCGGAAATCCTCCTCCATGAGGGGTAGGCCTTCGCGCAACTTGATCTTCGGCTCCCATCCCAGCAATTCTTTTGCCTTTGTGATGTCTGGTTTCCTCTGTCTTGGATCGTCGGGAGTGTTCTCCACCCTCTTGATCTCCACCTCGGGGTTGATGAGCTGTAAAAGTAGCATATAAATCGATCAATATATCTGACATAGTACTGATAGTAGAAACCAACAAGATCACTGGTCCTCTTGTTTTGTAATTGACACATCAAAACTCGAATGTTTCAAACGTTATTGTATCCATTCGCCAAATATTCGTTTCTAACATTCAAACTGAAAAAAAGCTTCTGGAAAACCGTACTCTAACAGCCAACAAAAGCAAAAACGATGGAAAAAGAGAAACTGACCTCCTTTACCGTCTCTGCAAGTTCAAGCATGGTAAATTCACCTGAAAGTACACAAGATATGTCAATACAACTAGAGCATAGTCTTATGACAGATTTTTGAGATACACTCGTTGCAGTATGATATATCTAATAGATTACCTGGGTTTCCGAGGTTAATAGGTCCGGTGTGCTCTCCTTCCATGAGACGAATGAGGCCATCAACCTATAAAAATTTAAATGGGTAACTATACATAAAACCCAACTCATTGCCATACACGGAAACAGAATGAAAAGCGATATAAGTTCCATACCAGATCGGAGACATAACAGAAACTGCGAGTTTGAGTCCCAGGATTCTGAACTGTCAACGGTTCATCACTACATTGTTGAAAACACATTGTAAAATTAATCCAAAGGCATCAATATTCAAGGGAAAAGAAAGTGATGAAATTAGCTATCTTTAAGTCGAGACTGAATTAGTTAGTGATGAAAGTAGCCACGGTTGGGGCACCCTAAGGACTCACCGAAGTGCCTGAGCTATAAAATTGCTCACAACACGTCCATCATCAATATTCATGCGGGGGCCATATGTGTTGAAGATTCTCGCAATACGTATTTCTGTCAAAGAGTGTAAACGAAATTATATATTCATGCGAGGGCCATAAGTGTGAAAGAAAAAAAAAAAAACAATAATTTGTTCATGGAAAACGAAAAAAGAGAAAAAACAAAATACCTATCCCATGCTGCCTATGATAGTCGAACATCAAAGTCTCAGCAACACGCTTCCCCTCATCATAACAGCTCCTTACTCCTGCAATTATTATATGTACTTGTCAAGGTCATGGTCTCATGAACTTAAATAAATCCCATGAACAGTTCAGCATTTCTGGAATCTCCATCAAGTAAATCCATCTCAAATCAGGTAAAGCATTTTAGAGTTAATTTTTTTGGTAACATGGTGTCAAAGACAAAAGATATTAGCGTTTAGTTAAAACCAGAATGAAGCGGAATTTCCAGCTTAGAATGAGACGAGCACTTACCAATTGGGTTAACATTACCCCAGTAGCTTTCAGGTTGTGGATGCACAAGAGGATCACCATATACCTCTGAAGTGGATGTCAGCAGAATCCTGCTCAAATATATTTACTTAAAGTAAGACAACTTGATGGAATACAATTATGAATCTTTTATAAGTGCAAGATTAATAGACCACCTTGCTCCAACTCGCTTTGCAAGTCCAAGCATGTTCAGCGTGCCAATCACATTTGTTTTTATTGTCTGTTAGAGAATCATATGCTCAGATGTTAGATTACAGATTTAACGTACATGTAAAAGTCTTTTCTATTGGAGGTGAAAGATCTTATATGAATGAACAGGAAAAAGAAAGTAAAAATATTAGCTTCCGTTGCTGATTAAGGACAAATGACATGTTGCCTGCCTTACTTTACAAGTCATTTTCTCTTAATCAGCAATTTGAATCGCACGTGACACATGCACTGCCAAATGCCATCTCGATATCTAATGTGCCAATCACATATGTTTACCTTTACAGGATTGTATTTGTAAAAAATTGGAGAAGCTGGGCATGCAAGATGGTAAATCTGATCAACCTCGACCAACAGCGTCTCTGTGACATCTGTAGCAAACAACATAAAGATATTTAAATAAAAGCCACGCCTTGGTAAAGATTAATGACTCTTGACAGAAAATAAAAAACCCCAGATGAAATTAACTTGCTCAGTAAACCAAAATGTATGTACCATGACGAATAAGCTCGAATCTGGGATGACCAATCCACTTTTTCAGATTGTCCTTGGAGCCAGTGAAGTAGTTATCAACGACAATAACCTGTGGAGAATGGAAACAATATAAACCATGATGAATCAAATCATTTGATATATGATCTTATACTACGTCTAACTTACTGCAATTTTGTTCATCATGGAGCTTAGTAATAACAAAAGTTTCCCAACATGAAGTATATAAAAACATTGAATCTTGAAGTCGTTACTGAACAGAAAAATTGACCCTGAGACTTTATTCAAAGTAAATAAAATGCTTACCTCATTCTTTTCATTTTCCATTAACCTGTCAACCAGGTGAGAACCGATGAATCCAGCTCCTCCAGTAACCAAAATTCTCATATTGGACTGCCACAGTAAACAACACACAATTAAAGCATTACAATAACTATAAGCGGCCGACATGAAAATTTGGACAGAACAATGATATTTACTAGCCCTCTAATACCAAACAAAACATACTCCTTGAACTGAAAAGCAGCACGATTTACATCACTAAAAGCGTAATGAACTCATCTTTGCTATGCAAACAAACGAGCGAAAAAATGGAAACGTGACAAAGTTAGATTTCACCAAAATTTCAAAACGGGCAAGATCATAAGGATATGCAACATTTTCTTCTGGACTCAGAGAATTCAGAAATGTGGTTTGACTTTCTGCTAATTGGGGATAAAACAGAGAACCAAGAAAGTGTGGAGAATGAGTGTGATACGAGCGCAAAACCTCGACCACTGACGATATATAATTTCAAGATCTAATCCTACAAACCAATCGTGTGGAAAATGCGATCTGTATTAGCAAAATATGCAAGGCAAGGAACCTCTTCTGTATAATTATCAGTTAACTACAATATTTCTAAGATTTAGGTTGCAATCAGTAAATGTGATGGAGAAATGCAACGACCCCAGTGGCATAAATATCAGAAACACAATAAACACGCAAAATCAACACCAAAAAAGGGTATTTCAACACTGCAAAAAGCAGTTCACAATAACCCAAAGAAACGAAAAAGATAGATGAATAAAAAAACAAAAGAATTAGCACAAGGACCTGAAAAAACTTGGAGAACCGCAGAGGAGATGGCAAAGGAGGAGGCTTTGTTGTGGTCTGGTGCTCCCCATTGGTAGAATTGTTTGCCATTTTCTCAGATCCTCTCTGCAATCCAAACACCTGCAACAATTTACCCAAAACCTTCAAACTTCAAGCACTAAAAGATCAAATTTTCTGCAGAAATTGAAACAAAGTTTTGAACTTTAGTTTCTAATCATCGAAAATTTTATGGTGCTTTGAAATATCTTATCCTCTGGAGATTTTTAATCGTTAAATCTTAATCGTTATATTTTTAACCAATGATCTAACCGTTAAAAACTTCGGAGTATACTAGAAAATCACTGGAATTATAAAGAAAGATTTGAGCTTGAAGTTGAAGTTGACCTGAAAGATAAAGCTGCTTAGGAAGAAAACCCAAATACCCTTTGGATCCGCCAAGTTCAAGTTAGCAGAAACCCAATATTTATAGTCCCTCAAATCTCAAAATAGTTCCAAAAAATCGAAACTCCTACCAAACGACGAATTTTAAAAAGAAATATAAACATTTAAATAATACAACGAACCGGAAAGCTTTCAAATTCAAGGAAAGTTCTGGCCTTTTACTGATAGCTCTTCGATAACAATAAATTCAATTTGAAGTGACAATCCAAACTGTATTATTTTATTTTTGAGAAATAACAATGTTAATGCTTTAAATTATTAGTTGTTAAATGAAGATCGGTGTAAATTGAATCCATACTAGAGTGTATAGACATGATTTTTTTTTACCACTGCACTCAAATGTCATCTGCACAAATATGATTGTTTTTCGTCATTATATTAAAGCGTCATTTGCAAGCAAACTGTATTATTATTCCCCCTTTAGAAATCATTTTCTTTTAAAGGTACCAAAAAATAATAATAATTCAAATTTGGTAATCCAACTATAATTAGTAATTATGTACCAAATAAAGAAGATTGTAACTATTTATTTACCTTGTGAAGAAGCTAGGGAATCTTGGATTTTGAGAGGTTTATGGGATTATCTAATTTATGAGTTTTGGGAAAAAGGGAAGGATATTTAGGATTAGTGATCCTAATAACAGTGATTAGTGAGCTATAGCCTATAATTAGAGGGGAATTAGGGTTTTTTCCCTAAATTCTGAGTCCTAAAGATAGAGATGCAACAATCTAGTGAGACTTTGGTGACTGTCTGAGAGACAGGTAAGGCCAAGTTCCTTGCTTTGTTTTGAAGGTTGGAACCGGATGCTCTCTTTTGTATGAGTTTGTCATTTTATACGCTTAGGCATCTGGGGTATTGCCACGTGTATAATACAACTTGGACAAGTGGTGTCTTGATAAGAACATTCCTGGAAGATTCTATCAGCATTAGGATTTTGAATTTCTGTGTAATTTGGGTTGAAATTAATGACACTCCATCATAAATGATAAACAGATTGACAAAGCAAATATGATTAGTATTCTGATTTTAGGAGAAAATTCTAGTAGAAAATGTTCGTATTTGTTTTTATTTTCATTTAAATTCTTTCTCAAAATGGGGTGGAGTTATTGTAAATAAATACAAAATTCAAGGTGATAGACTTGTAATTACCTAACTTACTGAATAATATGGGTTGCAATTGAGAATACTTCGTTGGATATGTGATCATACGAAAAATGACATGATTAAGAACGAGAATATTCGAGGTAGAATAGAGATGACCGCAATTGAAGATAAGATGAAATAAAATCGATTAAGGTAGTTTGGATATGTGAAATGAAGACCTACAGATGCTCCAGTTAGAACATACAATTATGAGATAAAGGCTCGGGGCAAAAATGGTAGAGGAAGACCTAGGAAGACTTAGGAAGAGACATTATCAAAATACATGGAGTACTCAAAGCTGATAGAAGTCTTGGCGCAAAAGTGACTGCAATGAAGTTTTAAGATTCATACAACCTACTTCACTTGGTGGAATAAGACTTTGTTGTTGCTGCTGATGTACTAAATAATAGGAGCCTAAAATTCAATGGGATGCATTGATACACTAGACGGTTAAATTTATATGATTGTATATTGGCAATCTCCTCAAACACTAATACACTTCATTAAACGAATGGATATGAAAATGAATGAGATGAGAAACCTCTCGATTATCTCGTACCTTCATTTTTCAAGTGTGCCATATCTAAAATCAAGGAAACTTACGTACTTTTTCATTCATTTTATTGTTAGTAAACACATAAATATGAATCACACTCACATTCCTTACAATTTTCATGGGCGAGTAATTAATTCAACCAAACAAATTACAAAAAAGCAATGCACGTTGCTGATCCTTACAATTTTCATGAGCGAGTAATCAGTCCTTACATATTTTTGTCAGTTCTTTCTTTATATATAATTTTGCATGCCTATATGGGTACATTATTTCTGATTATCATGCAACTTACAAGAGATTTCGTACAAATTAATGTGGGAAGAAGGATTCTCCCATTGAACAAGTTCCTTGATTCCCTCTTCAATCTCTCTTGTTTCTCTTATTAAACTACTTATGCAGAATCCTAAACCACTTAAACACAAAACCATTTGGCTCTTGAGCTCCTCACTTTTAGCATCAATTTTATCAACGACTTCCTCCGAGTGTTGGAGATAAGAACTCATAATCTTATCCATCTCTGAACTACAAGCCCTAAAAATATTCGGTGTTCGAGATTTTCCCAACTCGTGGTCAGGAGATATGTTACTCTTTTGATCAAGAACTGCGATTGATTTTATCAAGGTGATCTCCTCGAAGCATGTCATCAAACTTCCAACCATTTTCTTGAAATGTTCAAGATCACATTCCAATGTATGTACAATTTCCTTCCATGAAGCCTCAAGTGTTTGTGAATTTTCTTCAAGAATTCCAACTGCATGAGCACTTAAAACTAGCAAGTCCATCATTCTGGAGAAAGACCTCAAGAGTTTTCCATAGCAAGCACTATGAAAAGGCAAAAACCAGAAATTGGGCTCCCCCTCAGCTTCTCCAATCAACTGCCCAAGTTCTTCAGTATGCATTTTCAGTCTCTTTTGATTATCTTCCAAATTGGCTCTTCCTGATTGAAGACTCACCGAGTTGATGCACTCCTGCAATGTCCCAAGAGTCCTAGAGAGTTGAACTTTTGCAAGAGCAGAAGCTCTTTTGGGTTGCAAGATTAGGTGAACGATAATAGAACTAGATAATCCGATGAAGGTTTCTGTGATTCTGGCTATGGCAAATTCACTTGGAGGACCAAAGTTTGTTCTCCCCAAAACTAGTACAGCTCCAATTACCGCTGAAATGCCTCCTGCCTGGCCGTACATTCGGCTACGCTGGAGAAAATTGGTGAAAATGAACCAAGGAATCAGAGATAAAAGTCTCATTGACAAAAACCTTTGGAAGAGAAACCAACCCAAAACTCCATATACAGTTCCTAAAACAGTCCCTTGTACTTTAACATTTGAAACTTTAAATGTTGCTTCTCTGGTTGATGCAAAACTGATTGCTACTGGGAGTCCTGCCCAGTAGCCATCATCTTTGCTGTATATCAAACCGAAAAACACGGCAAGACCCAAGGAGAGTGAACATTTGAAAGCTGACATAAGCCTTTTGCTGCTTACCTTGGTGGACAAGTTACTCCATATCTTGAAATACAATCCATTTTGTTTGGACGAATTAGTTGCTCCTCCATTCTGGTGAACCAAAAATTTTTCCTGTACAGTCTTACTTCTGGATAATAACTTGCCTTGGAGGAGATTGATGCAAAACAAAAAGAAAATTGGGGGTAAATCTTGGTGGATTTGTGGGATGTTTTGAAGTGTTTGGAGGAAACTAACATTTTCTGCTTTTGATTCAGGAACAGTTATTGAACAAAAAGGCGTGCTTAAGTTTAGGCTCATGTTATGCTCTACTAGTCTAAGTAGAGCATCTTTACTGAGTTCTCCATTCACCACCTTAACTGGAAATGAAGGAATACAGGTTAATGCCATTTCCATTCCTCTAAAGGGTATCTCTAAGCCCTGCAATCTATCTCCTGGGTTTACATAGCCGCGTCTCGAAAATAACTTCAGCGGAACTCTCTCCCACTTCATGCTTTCCTGCACGAAAGAAAAACATAGTTCAGTTTGATCAGCGCGCCTGAAATGAGAGTCCGGTTTATAAAGTAGTTTTATTGAGTAGCTGTTACGTAAACTGCGTACTTCTTTAGTAAAAGAGGTGAGATTCACTTGTTTAAGGAAGTGAAATCTAATTGATTAATGATACATGATTAGTAAAAGAGGTAAAATATATTATATTATATATTTTACCCTATTCTTAGTATAATTTGGTAATTATTTTGGTAGAATTTTGATACTTCTCTTTATTTTTTCAATATAGGACATTCGAATTCTTCCCTAGCAAAACAGAATCAAATGGACGAATTTTGGAGTGATTCAAATTGTATGACGTTCGTGTGTTCCTTAGCTTGTTTGTGTCAAAATTTCAGCAACTTCTACCAAGCGGTTATTTTCTGACGATTAAATAAAGAAGCTGTGCGCGTTGCTGAAAAGTTACGTTTTTGGGCTTAAATGCAAGTTTTGGAGAGCAAGATGACCTCGGATGGGTTCTTAGGCTTTTGGAGAAGTGATCAGAATAGTCCAAACTTTAAATCCAGCTATTTTGGGCCAGTTTTGGAGCTGATATGGGTCCAAAACGTGGCTGTGCGGAATTTTGAGCGAATTTATTAAGTTAATTTAGGATTATATTTCCTAATTTATTTCAATTTATTAGGTTTCCTAGTTTCATTCTAAGACCTTTTACTAGGAGGTTTTAATTAGAGTATAAATAAGTTTTTTTGGCCGGCTTTAGGGTTTTCTCTTACGCAATATTGAGGAGAAGAATTTGGCTAAAGCTTAGAGATTTTCAAACTTTATTCTACAAGGTGTTTTCAATCTTTTTCTAGTTCAATACAATTATGTTGATTTTAATTATGAATATGCAAAACTAATTTTCTTTTGCTAGGACGATGCCTTGAGCCTTAGCATGACTATATAGTTTTTATTTAATTGCTTATGATATTATGCATGCATACTTTGAATTATTAACCACTATGTTTAAACTATCTTTGTGTCTTAATGATTCGCAACCATTAGGATGTTTAGACTAGTAATCGGATGCAATTCAATCGGAATGCCACCAGAGGATTGAGTATTGCTTCTTGTGATTGATACTTGTAATTTCACCTAGGGCGAATGCCACATCTTAGGGGTTGCATGGTTTTTCAAAGGGTTTTCACAAAGCATAATAAGTCATGCATGTTTATATTTGATCTGAATGCTATAGACAAATTGCATGTTTGATATACGTTATAGCTTGACCACAAAAAGGATATATTTTAGGAAATCATAACCTTCAAAGTTGCATGGATAATTCATAAGTAAAGGTTCTAAAAAACGTTAGGCGCTAGTTGGACGGTGGATTGGGGTCTAGTCCTAGGCGGCTAAGCGGATTTAAGTAAATTTAGTATTATAAATATGTACATATTTACTCATAAAAAAACTATACTTCCATTTTCATTAGTTTTTCTTTCACAAAGAATGTTCTTTAATTAATAGGTAGTATAATAAACAATTAATTGACAACTCTCATTAACAGATTGACTAGGTTTATTTTGGACTTTAGTATTTGGGTGGACAAGCCCATTAAAGTGTGCGGAAGCCCATTAAATTCCCACATAAAAAAACAAACCGACGACGTCGTTTAACCTTAGGTTATTTTAAAAGGTTACTATTCATTGTCTTCTTCTTCTCTTTGACCTGCACAACCTTTTTTTACCCAGATGGCAGAGAAGATGAAATGGTGCAGCTCCAAAAACTTAGTTGATCTGCTGCCTCCCAACGCCGCCTTGTCCCGCCTAGTGTCCCGCCTAACGCCGGCTAGTGGGTGATCCGATTTTTCTACCAATTAGGCCTTAATCGGAACGACAACCAGCCGTGGAGCTCCTAGGCGCTGCCTAGGCCGTTTTTTAGAACACTGAGTAAATCTACATAAAATTGTTAAAGGGATGACGGAACCTAGTGCTCTTCCAAATTTATTTCTCAAAACCTTTTCTTTTTTATTTGTTTTCTTCTTAATTGGTTATTAGTTGTTTTTCCTAAATTACTTTTATTAAAATTCGTTTTTATTATTCTTAAATCCAAAATCAACTTTTTCCTATTTTTGTTTTCTAATAATTAACTAAGATTTTGGTTTTGCATAAATTGTTTTGAATAATCCATGCGGAAAATGACATTACTTGAGCCGTTTATACTACAACTACCTTATTCTCTTACAAGTATTTTGTGTGATTTTAACCGCTTTGAGCAGGTACCTAAAAATCCTATCAATACACGATCAAGGACGGAGCCACCATGGGCCTAGGGGGGGCGGATGCCCCCACTGAGATTTTTCTGACGCTGGGATGCTGCTCAAATTGAGCTGGGTTTGCAGCAGCAGAGCCCCCACTGAACTGATCTGGTTTTGCTCTCCGACCTGGTTCTGCAGAAGTTCTGGCTTTGTTGTTTGAGGATGCCCCCATTCACACAAAGTTCTGGCTTCGTCCCTGTACACGATATATATAGTACGAGAACATGGTCCAAATAGTTTTGTTGAATCATGTTATAAATTATGTACACATAATTAATTCATCATGCATATATTGTTATTTTGTAATTAATGCATAAAGTTTACTTACTTGGTGGCTTTTGATAGTTTGGAAAAGCTTGGTTGCCGTGGAAGCCAGGAAATTTGCTTGAGAAATTGATGCAAGTGCCGATGTGCTATCTTCTGCGCAAAACGCATTTACAAAGATCTTGAGCATTTCTGAAGCATTCTTGGCAAGTAGCTTTAAGTTTTGTTTAACCTGCAAAATATATTCAAACACATTGAATATTTAATTTACACAATAAAATGTAAGTAATCTCGATCAGTTACACTTTCAGTTTGTTATTCTGCACTTAATTGGGTCGCAGTTTTAAATAAAAAATCTTAAATTTTAGAGTGCATAATGGCTTCATGTATGTGTGTAAATTGAAAGTACCTCTCGAGAAGCAAGGCGTGGGAAGGGAATCAACAAAGCCAAAACACAAGCCAATACCCCAACTCCAGTACTTGCTGCCACATGGACAGGGTGCATGATAGCATCTGTATGGCCCCCATTTATGCAAGCTATGACATACATAATCACAATCTGCCCAAGTGCTATGCGTTTGGTCACCAAGTGAGTAAACTCCGGCAGAGCCACCACGAATGCCGCAAGACCCACCGCCACAGCGGTCGTGCTGGTCGAAAGCTGGGCCGGCCCAATCAGCCACAGACTCAACATGGCCGGGCCAATGGTTTGTGCCGTGGCATAGAGCCCGAGCCGAAAGCCACAAAGTGTGTGCCCTAGAGTTGCATCAGGAGCTATGAGAAGGACTGTGACATAAGAGAATGCCGGGAAGGTTACTTGGCGTCGGAGAGATTGCGGGCCATAGAGGGTGGTTAGCGCAACTATGGTGCAAGCAAGACATGTACGGAATGCAGAGGCTAGGCATGTTAGCCACATGGCTCGGGCTTGGTTGGTGTGGTCAAGAAAAGTCGGCATATCGTTTCGTTTTGCACTAGCTAGAAGCTTCTACGTACCTAGCTGTCTGTGGGGGTTTTGGTGATGGATTAATTTATAGTATGATGGTGTTGAGGTTTGGGGAGAGACTGAAGTTATATGTTAGGGGAAAGGCAAAATTGGTATTAGGAACCATATGCGAAAGGCTCCAATGGGGACCTACCAATCTGGTGAATGGGTTGATGTGATGCTAATATTAGGTGTTCACTAGTAATGTCGATGGTGCTACCGAAGTTTGGTTGGTGGGATGATTGAGGGAGGGAGAAAGTGTTAATTAGAGATTTACAGGCTATCAACTATTACACAAGTTGTGAGGCCGACTCGTGTGATTTAGAGTTTTTTTTTTTTTTTTTTGTGTACACCAATTTCAGAGTTGCTTGTGAATATATATAGATCGTGAAATGCTAAAAGCTTTTTCTATCACACTAGATGATGACATATAATGTTATAATCTTATCCTCCAACCGTCAAATGTGAATGTACAATCTTCATGTCCCATTACATTCTGGAGCCGACTCGTGTGGTTAGAGTTTGTCTTCTTTTCTCTCTTGAGTGCACCAGCTTCAAAATTGCATGTGACTATAGAGTAGAATGCTGAACATTGTTTTTATCAGACTAATGATAAGATGATATGATAATCTTATCCCTCCAACCATCAAATATGAATGTGCAATCTTCGCGTCCCGTTACACTTTGGAGACGCCTTTTACATATTACCAATATATATAGTTATGCAAAAACACATAATAAGATCATATTCCGTCAGTGAATCAAATAACTCTTGTTGATAGAAGTTTCCAGGCTTAGGAATAAGTAATTATAATCTTTCACTGCTTTCAACTGATTTTTTCCATCCCTTTGGCTTTGCAATATTTCCTAATGAAGGACAAAAGTTCAATACTGAGTATATGCTTTGGCTTGAGCAAAAATCCACAGCCACAAATCCAGTGAAAATTCCTTTGTCTTGCAATTTGAAGAACCAGAGCACTAAATCTGAGGAATAAAGCTAACAAACAGTGGCTATATACAAAGATTAAAATAGAATCGAAGTGGGGTTTCCCTAGTTTCCACTCAGAACAGCATTGGTTCCTAATTTTCGTCCTTCCCAGGCGGCAAGGGTCACGTTTGAGAAGCGGGGAATGCTGACCAAAATATACATTCTTATGAAATATAATATTACAGCTTATTAGACAAAAAAGCAAAGTTGCAGATTCTTATGCACACCATGCGTGACCTAATTAATTTTCGGAAAGAGATGAAGCACATTGAAGCTGCAAAATGTTCTAATTCATGCATGCTATATGTGCAGTTGCCCACATACTGTACGTCTGTACATCAGTAAGTTCGTGTATACATGAGTAACTGTGCGCCGTTAATCGATCCAAGTCACTCAAGCTTAATGCGTTTCATGCTCACAATCACTTTAGCGCACGTGAACGACCGAAGATAATTTTAACATTACATGCACCCACAAGGTCATCGGCCATTTACCAAAGTTAATAGATGAATATGGCTTTTTCCAAAAGCATAAAGGATCATGCATATGGTCACGATCAAGATAATAAAAAAATGTCGTACCCAGTGCACAATGTTAAGAATCAATGTTAAAGTTAGGCAATGTTAGGCAATGTTAGTCAATGTCAAAGTTAGGCAATGTTAGGCAATGTTAGGTATGGTTGTGTGGAAAAAATAATTAGGTGCAATTAATGTGTTTTGTGTGGTAGTAAATAATCTTAGTTTAATTAAGTAGCTTTCATTTGGTTTGCTATAAATACCCAAGTCCCCAAGCCTTGTAAATCATCCAAAGGAAAAACAAAGCTAAGTGCTAAATAAGAAAAGCTTTGCTAATTAGTGTTTTTTGTGAGCTTTCTTTAGAGTGTGCTTTATTTCTTCTTCTTGGAATAATTAGAGTTATCTTGTATACTCTTTTTGTTCAACACACAAGGCTCCCACTTTATGCAGAGTCTGGGAGAGGTGAATGTCATGATCAAGATAATGCCAAAAAATATTTGCGTTCTGTATTTATCAGTTCCTTTTTTGCCTACGTTAGCCATCCCACCTGTTCAGGATCTGAAAGGTCGTCGTCCCAAGGTTTGCTGCAAAAAGTGGAAAGAAACAGAACTTTCCAAGCATGGCAATGGGAAACTGGAAAGGAATAAACAAAGTCATCTTCAATTTCAAGCGTATGCATGTTTATTCGGTCACCTAAAATAACTTTAAACGGAAATGATCGAGCTGATCCTTTTTGAGAGTCATTCACAGCCACAAGGATTCTTTAAAAAGTTAAAGGATTAGTAATCCTTTTTAGAAATCAAATGGATTCGGTCTTATACATAAGCGAGGAAGGTAATAAAAAAAGAAAGAAGATGAGTTCTTCTTTCTTACCGCTACTTAATACCTTAGGGGATCAACTCTATTACATAAGTGGATTCCTAACTGTTATCTCATATCATGACATAAGCAAGCAGTTCTTATTGTATCGGACCAAAACCTCGCGAATTGATCTTTTACGGTGCTTCTTTTATCAATTAGATCCTTTATCCATAAAATAAAGTTCTATTTATGATACTATCGGAGTGAAACAAGGAATCTAAAGAAGAACAGAGGCTAGGCTATATTAGTAACAAGTAAATTCTTTGCTTTGTATGTTAACTCTCTCTAAGGAACTCGGGAAAATAGCCCAATAACTTCGGGAGAAGGGGTGCCCCCTCACAAAGGGGGATATAGTCTGCTGATCGGATCCTTACGATGAATTAACAAACACCAACATTTAACAGGATGCAAATTATGCAATCGCAGTTTGATTATACGTACTGGTTCGGCTTCTTTTCGGAACCCTATTCAACGACACTTCAGCCAAGATTCAAGAACATCAGTGCTAAACAAGAAATAGCACTTCAACAGGGAAGAAGCAAAAACAAGAAAAAAAATGCACTCTTTAGTCTTAAAAATAGGCTAAAATTGCCCTAATAGTCCTTGTAGTTTACTCCAACTTTCTTTTTTACCTTGTAGTTTCATTCCGTTGGCACCCTAACTAGTCCATCGAATGATACATAATTTGGGAATTTTAAAGCTTGGAACAATAAGGTATTTGATGCCTTAAAATTTTTTGAGGATTGATAGGCTTATTTAGTGAGAAAAGTCGAAACTTGAATGTGGCCAACGAGGACATCTGTTAATTATTAAAATTGCTGCTATTACTAAAAAATACTTACAAGAAAACAAGGCTTAGGTAACGGAATTAATGAAAGGGAAAGACCGGGGTCCAGAGCAAGTTAAATTGGGGTAGAGCCGTAAGCGCAGTTGGAGGAGGGTGACAAAGGACGTGCTCGTATAGTACAAAGAAGGGTTCCCACAGAAGCACCCATTAACTACTGACCAGCTGCTTTTCATTGAAGGAAAGGTATGATTAAATCTACTACGGTATTATTTCGTGGTGCTGATTGAATGAATCAAATATTACTGACGTCACATTTTTTCTTCTTTGAAAGATGGATTATCACTTTTGCCAACTGTAACACATAATTTTCAAGCCGTAGTCTGTAATAGTTGAACTTTGATAACTGATGACATGCCACGGATCTACGGTTATCCACTTCTTTCAGGGGTCGAGAAGACTTACAAAAACATTTCAACCTCTTCCTAACCACAAGTCTAACTTCCACACCAGCAACATGTTTCAAACCCAATACCTTTAGTTTTTAGTTTAAAGGAAGACTCGTAATTCGCTCTTTACCACCACCGGTTTTTAATTTTATTAGTTCATGATTATCCTTCTCATTGTGTGTGCAACAATTTTAGATGACTTGTACGACGACATAAAAACCTATGGATTACAATCCAGGGAGACCTATTTTTGACACATATTTTAACACCCATTTTTGTAGGGCTTGTTTTGTAATTTTATTTTTTAAGGATCTGAACTGTCTATATTTTAATTCATCATTTATAGATTATATTTGCAAAAAAATTAGACAAATTCAAAATCATTAAGACATTCATTTGTAGTGAAGAAAATAGAGAAGTACAATTTTGCAAAGAAACACTAAAATGACCATCATATGACATTCCAAGGGTATCTAAAAATGAATAAAAAAAACATGCATGACAACTCTAACTTGATTTTAAAACTCTCCTAAGAAAGTTTTGAGCATGAGAATCAAAACTGAAAATAGATTATAATCTTAAACAATGTGCTTCAAGTCTTAAGCAACAACAAACAAATAAAAATTGGGGTTTTCAAATGCAAAGACGTGCAAAAAACCGGATGGAACAATCAACTTAGTTGACGGATTGAACTAAACGAAACTACAAGCACGAAAAATGCAAGAAAAAAAAATATAGGGAGAGGTGAAAATCCAGGTAAGACTACAAGAACATTAATGCAAGTTGACCCTCAACGATAAACAACAACCAAGCCTTATCTCACTAAGTGGGATCAGTTATATGAATCCTAGAACGTCATTATGTACGCTTTTGTGCCAAGTCTTCCGTTAGCTCCACACCAACATGGAGAAGAACTAATATATGACATGGAAAACTTATAGCATACACACTTTGGAGAAGAACTAAGTGCCAAGAAAATAGAGGAGAAAAAGAAGCTTGTCCACTCTTTTGGTCTTACCTCACTTAGGAGAAAAGGGAAAGGGACGGCTTTCGGGGTCAAAGAATAAAGAAAGGAATGCTATGAAAACCCATACCATAACGAGACCAAATATGGCAGTCCTCACCAACTGATCCCAGTTATCTTCCATGTCAACCTCATTCTCATAAGTTGGATGGGCTGGAAGTGGATTCCGACCCTCGTGCAAATCTTCTCTCAGCTCTGTCTTGATAACTTCATTTGTGCGAGGGTGCCACATATCTGTACATATTTTGCACTGGCATTTGCCACCAAGATATAATGGAAGTGCCTCAAGGTACTCAGAGAGAATCTTCCGGTAACTCTCACCTTCAATTCTCAACTTCTCTCGGGTATAAGGTTTCAAAACCTGACAAGGCAACACATGTGCATGTTTATGAAAAAAAGCATTGCTGATGCAATTGAGTGCCCAATTTGAAACTATTAAAATCATGACTAGATCAGAGTGTAATAGACTTACTTGAATAAAGGTTTGAGCAATAACACGAAGCATTGGAGGAAGCCGAATAACAAACAGACAGCCAAGACGGTTGGGGAAGTGATCTTGCAAAAGAGAAGAACAAGTCCTCATAACTTGCATGGGAATTTTCAATGGAGATAGACCTTCACAATCTACTACAACTGTAATTTGAGCATTGGTGGCATCAAGCAAATGATAGACTCCATGCTCTACTTGGGAAACTGCAGTTACAATCATTGATTGCTGTCAGAACATCTCATGTAAGAGTGATCTAATGCATGCAAAAATCTGTATGTGCAAAAACAATGTTATATTCTTCACGACAGGAAAGAAAATAAACTACTTACAACCATTTAAACCATATCAACATTGAGAAATTGACTTCCTCGTTGTCTCCAAAGAATTTGAGGATTGCACACTTGATGAACCCGAAATAACTAATCAAGCATGACCAAAACACTAGAAAATTCTAATTTAGTGCTAGCTAAAGTAAATAATGCTACTTATTTGCAAAAATCAAGCCTTACAGTTCACTAATTGAACAAACAAACAGGCCTTTTCTTAATGCAAATCACCGATTCACAAGAATGGGCAAGGCAGGAATTTACTAGTATTGGCTGAATGGAAACAGATATTTATGTATGCATTCAGTTTTTTTATTCTCGGTAGGATGCTTCACCTTTAAAAGAGAAGAAAAACTAATTGAAAAATAAGATAGACTCCAATAAACCGAGAGTTGAACAAGAGTGAGTCGTAGTAGATCTGGTCACATCCATCTTACAGAAATAGGAGTGGCTCTAGAGTCTAGAGGTTGTATGGATAGAAACAAAGAAAAGTAACAGAGGGACCAAATGAACATACTGATAGCTTGAGCAAAGCGAGGTCTATCATGAGATAGCAAGCTAGTGCAAGCTAGCCCAAGTCGCACTATGAGGCAAGGTCGGTGCTTAACATCAAATCCATGCCAGAAAACCATATTTGACCACATCTCAAGCTCCTGTATTGAAAGAATTCCGTAAGTCTCCCTCCAATGGATTGTCTTCTTTACTGATGATAGCAAGCGAGAAAAGTCTCCATTTGCAGCAGTGTAAAACCTACGAAGTTCCTCCTCATCAATTCTGCATAAACATTAGCATGTCATGGTCCGCTGCAACAAAAAGCAAAGAAGTTCATACATATAGGCATGTAGAAGAAAATATTAGGAGAGACCTTGTAGAACAGTACAAAAAGGTTAGGTGTTTCTTGAGAGGAACGTTGAAAACAACATTCACAAAGGGCTGCAGGAAAAGTTTTGCCACCAAGGGAAAGGAATGAAACAATAACACAATAAAGGTCATACCCAGTGCACAAGGCTCCCGCTTTACGCAGGGTCTGGGAGAGGTGAATGTCGGCTAGCCTTACCCCCATTTATGGAGAGGCTGCTCCCAAGTCTCGAACCCGAGACCTACCGCTCATGGGCGAAGGCACTTGCCATCGCACCAACAACCAAGCCTTAAAAATTAAAACAACAACAACCAAGCCTTATCCCACTGAGTGGGGTCAGCTGTATGAGTTCTAGAACGCTATTGCGCTCCGTTTTGTGCCAAGTCTTCCGTTAGCTCCAAGTACTCCATACCTTTTCTTACAGTCTTTTTCAAAGTCTTCCTAGGTCTTGCTCTACCCCTTTTGCCCTGAGCCTCTATCTCATAGTCTCAATATTATTGTCTAGATGATAGGAAGTACACAAAGTAATAAATTTCACATTATAAACTTTGTACTTTCAGTGTTTTACAAAGCAGTAAGCATAGGATACCAAGAAGCGGAGGATAATTCAACTTGGAAGTACTTATAACAGTTTTTTTTTTCAGTTACATTTTCTGATAGGCATTGCAATGGACAAAAGATACTGACACTGGTGGATACAACTCATTTACAAGACAACAAAGAGTAAGATAAATCCATAAAAATATGGAAATGATACCAGACGTTTAATTTGAGCATCATGCCACAGACGTAAAAAGACATACAAAAAGATATTCTAGAGGCATACAAATGTCATACGCACAGTTTTAGTATTGACAAACTATTCCAAGAAAGAAAGATAATAAAATCAAGCAAATACATTCTAATCATATTTAAATTTGAAATTTTGAATATTATAACTTCGACCAACCTGAACCCTACCCCACCGTTTAATTTAAGCATAAAGCCAAATACGTAAAAAGACATACAAAAAAATATTTTAGAGGCGAACAAACATCATATGTACAGTTTGACTATTAACAAACTATTAAGAGAAAGATAACAAAAACAAGTAAAAAATATTATTATCATATTTTAAATTTGAATATTAGTAAGTGTTATATGCACAGTTGGACTACACGAAATCATCCAATCACCTTTCTGGCAAGCTAATCCCTTGTCTTTCAAGCTCTTCATGGAGTTCTACCAACCACATTTCAGGTTCTACATTTTGAGGAAATTGATCAGGAACCCTGCACATTACATAAAAGCTGTAAAATTAGGTCCTAGAGACAACTCATGATAAAAACAAATCAGTAATAATGTGAACAACTGCCATTGCTTTTGGGCATTTCAGATGACAAATTATTTAGAAAACAAAATTTTTTTCAGAAAACACAATTTTAATATCCACAAATCCAACTGACCAAAAGCTAGAAGATGTTACGGAACTAAATGCTATGAGGAAAACTTGACCTTGTATTATCGAAAATGTCATATTATAGTATACTCATATAAATGAATTGATGAGGTGTGTCACATAATGCATCAGATGCCAACAACAAAAACCTCATTTCTCTTAATACCTTGTATCCAAAGTAGAATCGTTAATGCACTCAGACAATACTTCCGACTGCACTTCTGAACATGCATCAGAATTGTTAATGCCATCTGAGGTTCTATTAAAGAACTCCGCTTCATCAGAGAACACTGTTGCAATGGAAAGCACTAGTAATGGTTTTGAAACTACCTGTAAGCAAAAAAAAGTTCATCATCAAATCTCCCTCATATTGATACATGTCTAGAAGTTTAGGCAATCAAATTACATCCAAATACCCAAAAAAGCAAGAATGCAAAGACGTGGGAATCCTATAAGACCATTGCTGGCTTCTTATTTTTGTTTGCCTTTCCGTTCCCCGTCAGAAGGGAGTTGAGTAGTGTATAAGTAACGTATATACATCCATATGAGTCTGACTAAAATATGGTTACAATTTACCAAAGGTTGAGAATTTATATGACCAAACCTGCATGCCATTGACCAAAGCCTTGAAGGGCGCAAATCTTCGAAACCACTTGAACGGAGGGTAACACAGAAATTGCAAAGCCTGGAAGCCACGCCATGCCCACGGGCACTTGGCCCTTGAGAACCGCCTTACTGTCTCCAATGCAGCCATTTTGAGCAGAAACAAAGCTGCCTGGCTCACCACGCCACTCCCAATTCGAAGCGACCCTACATCCTGCAGAGAGCCCTTGGGGCGAGAAGCAACTATATGATTCTGCGACTTCGTCTTTCCATTCATAACTACATTGGCCTCTGGTCTACGCGATGCGTCCCCCATTGGGTGGAAAACCACCTGCAATCGGATGGTGGGTTGGGTGTATTTAGAAAATTCGGAACAAAAACCGGGTGGAATTACTCAAATCAGAAATCAGTTCAGTAATTTCAGTGATAGAGAATCAGTATTTTTCCTTCTCTCTCATTTTCTGACCATCCAAACACTAATACTCGGTGTGAATTTCTACAATAGCTAATCTAATCGCAGTTATCACATCCCATACAGAATTAAATCGAAAAAAATCATGAAATCGGAGCTCGAAATCGAAGTAAAAGTTGTCACCTCAAAATCTCAGGGATCTGCAGTTTTGGCGCGGACACGATGGAGTCGGAGGAGCTAGGGGTAGGAGCATCTGGCGGAATTGAGGATTTCGGAGGAAGCAATCAGAGGTATTTTTGTAGGGAGATTTTTGGGGAAGTTGGAGTTCCGTCGGCGTCATGATCGGGTAACAGAGGGTCGACCAAGGGCGAATCAATGAGAGGGAAGCAGGTGGAGCGTCGCACGTGACTCGGATCCAATGATAGACACGCGTGCCGTTGATTTAAAAGTGTACGGACTGATGATTTGGCGGTCAAATTGAAAACTGATCAACGGTCAGGAACCTCGCGCCGTCGCGCGCCGGCTTGATGTCCGTTGGGACGCAGCATTTGGTATTAATTAATTAATACTCAAGTATATTGATTTTGTGACATTAAAAAGAAAGCGAAGAAAGAGTTGGAGCACGAATGCATTTTTTGAAGTCACAAACTCTGTTTTAACGTAACATTTATGACCAATTTGGGGTTGCTGTATTTTAAGAATAATCAGTTATAAAATAAAATATTTGAATGTTTGATAAATTGTACTTTTAAAACTGTTGTGGGTATGAAAAGCAATATAAAAGAAGTGTCCAGGAGGATAAATAATGTTATTGTTTAAAATTAATGAGATTATTACAGGAATAAAAAATATTATAAGGACTCAACTCTACTTTTTATTAAAGCAGCTTTTAAAAGAAACCTACAAGCTGCTTTTAAAAGAAACCTACAAGCTGCTTTTAAAAGCTGCTGCCTAGAGGTCATGACTTTTAAAATAAGCAATATATTTTATTTTTACCAAATATTTTTTTACTGCATAACTGTAAAGTGAAGTAGTTTTTGGTGAAAAAAAAGCAATGCTAAACTAGGCCTTAGTTTAGGGACCAAATGTGCGCTACTAGTACATACGATACCAGAGTGCAATGAGAAGTGGATTAGTCTGTTACCAATGTGTGGTAAAATATCTCCTATATTTTAAAACCTTACACTGACTCTGTGGTCTAATAATATTACATTTGTTGTTCAAAGTCTATTTCAAAACCCGTACTAGCTTACATTTGTTTGGAGGTGTTTAAAAATGATTGAAAGCGCTTTAGAGAAAATATTTTGAGTTCTGAAAGCATTTCGTGTGTATTTCAAGATTCACTACAAGAATTGGTTTCAAAAATATTTTCAACCATTTTAAAAGGATTTCCAAATGAGCTATCAAATACTCTTAACTTTCAATTCACAGCCAAACAATTACCTTCTTCCTCCCCTTGCCTGCAATGGCTGCTCAACCGGCCCTACCCCATCCCCTCCTTTGATCTTTCTCCTATGTGCTTGCACCCCCAACCCCATCCTTCTTATGTCGTCCATCGATTCCCGTCCTTCTTTATAAAATAAGTTCCAATTTCTTAGTAGATTGGCTTAACAGTAAATTCCAAGTGAATTTATGTTGTTTATAGAATGCATATGAGCTTTCATCTGTAGCATTCCTTCAATACCTCTATATGGTCACAAATGATTGAAGATAATCTATACATTTCAGTTGAAGTTTTTATTTTTTAAAATTTTATTTTTATTTTAAAATTTTAGTTGAAATCAATAAAAATGAACATTTTGGTGATGGAATACAGGGAAAGTGCGGTGGAAAATGATTGAAATGATTTTCACATCCTTTTCCAGTTTCAATCACCGCTGCCACCAGTTCAAGCAGACCTCATCTCTCAGCTTTGTGATCTATAGACTGCTACAGAAGCTTGATTTGTTCAAGTTGGCAACAACTGCAGAGGTAAGCTCTCTGATAAATCTTCTAATTCACTCTTTATTTCTTTTTTCATCTGGGTAATTAACTAATTTCAGGCCAAGTCCGGACGTCGCAGCCGCCTCGCGCCGTTTTCCAAAATCCTTTCTCACTTGGGTAAGCAATTAAGACTTTTGGTTCAGTTTTTATTATGCCCAATTTTGTATTTAAACATTAAAAATATTTAAACTGATTTGGGGTTACTGAAATAGGTGTGCTTGATGAGTGCTGCAGCGCTGCCATCCTTGAATCAGAAGATACTCAAAAGGAAGAAGAAGAAGAAAGTCGTGGAATATCAAAAGATTTTTGCTTTGTAAAGGTATGCTTTTCCCAACTCACTTCTTGATTTTGTTGCACTTAATTGGTTCCCAAAAAAAAAAAAAAATATATATATATATATGTGAATTTTCACGTAACTGTTTATTTACATAATTACCAATTGAAGGTGATTTGAGATCATGTAACATTTCCTTGCCGGAAACGAAGATCGCCGTCGCTCATAGCTGCGTTTCATGAAACAACTTTATCTCTTGCCAATTTTGTGTACCCACTTTTTATTAATGATGGTTGGTGCTTGCTTGCAACCCAATTTGGTGCTATAAAGTTCTTCGTTTACAATCTGTTCATGCTTAAACCTCTTTCAATTTTCCAATTCTTTGTAAATCTTGCAAGTCAGGACAGAACACCTATATGGGCAATGTCGAGATGTCTAGGCTTGGGTGGAGATGTGGACTTATGGAAGAGGTGAAGTAGCTTAGCTCTATTTCATTAACTCTTATCTGTTCTATTAATGTTAAGATCAATAGTAAAAAGTTCTATTGGTTTTATAATCAAAGATACATATATTATATAAACAAAGATATATTATATAAACAAAGGATATATCATTAATTTCTTGATGTAAACAATGATAATTTGAAGAACCATTTAACGTATTTTCGTAATCAGCATACTTAAACTTAAATGTGATATATCTGTCTAGTATTTTTTTTATACAGTGATAATACTCAAGTATAATTTACATCATATATCTTTTGAAGTACATGAAACTATGTAAAAAAACCCTTATTAATCTGATTATGGCGGTTTTGTTTTATATCAAAATATTGCAGCAGAAGTCACACTTTGAAGAGTTCCTCTTAATATATTTTCAATTTATAACCTAATCTTAATTTATCTTCAACTTCTTTTAGATATAGGAATTTCGATTTCAATTTTATTTTGGGAATTCATATGCTTACCTTTCTTTTACAGATTCCTGAAGCTCATGATAAGCCTTCCTCTTTAGATATAGATATATCTTCTTTTAATGCACTTAGATGCTTTAATTTGTTGAACAATTTGTATGTGCAGAGTAATGAACTCTATCATTGGCATCAATGGCATTCAAACACATCTATCTAATGAATGATCGAAAGCATGGATATAATATGCATTTTCTTTGTCATTTCAACGCAGTGATAAGCTAGGTTTAAGCGTTGAATTGGGTTCCTTTAATTATGTCATCTATTGATCTCATAATATTCTCACCTACAATGAAACAACGAAGAAATAACGTGTACAAGCATTTTGTGTTTATTTTTTTTACCAATATGTGTGTTTAGCAAAAGTCTCAGTCTTCTTCACACAGTAATGTGTGTATCTGATCATTTATTTTTAAATACAATTGTCTTATCTTAAAGTGCCAATTGCTAAAATATAGTAATCCAATCCATTTTAAAACAATTGAGAAGCATGCTATAAGACAATTTGGTTCTTCAGTTCACCATCTTCTAGGACATCGTATGACCCTAACAGATGCATCTTTGAATCAATGCTTCATATTGTTCTACTAAATGACCGAGTGGGTTTCTTTATGCTAAGAATTTTTTTTCTGCAATTTCTTTTGGATTCTCTTTTTTTGTTTGTTTTGTTCGATAATTTTCCTCTTAGTTAGGCTGACTATTTTCTTTTGGGTTCTATTTGTGGAGTCATTAGCTATCAAGGTCATCATTTTTTAGGTATTTTTCTAATCTCTCATTTGTTTACCCAATTCTACTTTTGGATTTGATTCTTGACTGACGGGATGTTGTGATGATGTTTAATAATGTTTAGTATTTTTATTTATTTTTTCATTTTTTTGAATTTGGGAAATCAAATTATCCAATGGAAATAAACTGTTACTTTACAGTATGTCATCAAATTTAGAATGATAACTATGAATGCCCAAGTTATGATTAATGCCTCTATTAGTTCATTCGAATTTGATGTTATCTCATTTGGTCAAGAAGTGTATACAGTTGTCTTTATACTTAAGAGAAATTAAGTACATTGGACAACGTCATTCGCCCTCTTTGTTTTTTTAATTACTTTTTTTAATCTATTTTCCCCCTCAATTTTTTCTGCCATGCCCTTTCATTTGGTTTTTTATTTTCCTACTGGTTTTCATTTGAAAGGAAAATATTGCATTTGTATGAATTCTATATCGCTGCTCAGGTCTATGATTTTTTTCCCCTTGCTCATGCATTATTTTCTTTTCACTTCATATTGATATTAACTTTCTGTTTAGAAATGCCTCTGTTTTTCTTTCACTTGCTGAAAATGTCTTTGCCAAAATTTTCAGACATTTTCTTTGTTTCTTCTTATCTTCCTCTTTCTTTGTCCAATTATAAAGCAGTTCTTCATTTTTGTTTCTGTAAAGACCTTTTCTTTGTCCAATGATGTCTAACCCAACTCTTTCTAATTTAAATGCACTCATTTTATCACACATTGTATATGATAAAGCAGTGAAAAACAGTCTCTTTGTCAAATTAATCACAGCAGATTATTACATCATCGTCGTAATGATTATATACCTTCTTTGATATTTTAATTTCTACATTCCCGACTCTGTCTAATTAGTATCGCTGAGATATATTTGATATATGATGGAAGTTCGAAAAATGGGTTGGTTTGAATGCACTCATTTTAGTCTTATTGCATCTAATAGAACAGATGAAAATAGAGGGAATCAAAAATTTCATTTGCACCTTTAGGATCACAAATGAACTCTATCTCAATTTTACTTATATGTCCGCACTAACAACTCTTTTTTTTTTCAAAATTTGTAGGAACTAGCTGAAACCGTAAACCTCAACATAATGAAGATGAAGATGAGCTAGAAACAGTGAAGTAGGAAAATCTAGATTCTGTAACATGTTCATAGTCTATCTAAATATTTCGAATAATGAGCATTTAATCTTTTGATCATTGTAATGTGTTGCTCATTTACCTTCTCAAACACTAGACATGTAAATATTGATTTATTCAAAACTTACTTATATATTAATAGTATTGTCTTGAACGGTGTTCTTAAAACTTGCAGTATGCTTGTTCTTGACATAAATGTACAAGTGTCGGTTTGTGAATTAGCCGACAAAAACTTGGGCGTTTATGGAGTTCAAATTTCAATGAGGATGCGTGGAGGCAGCAGAGTTTCCATGGCCTTGGGAAGAAAGGGGAGGGAGATGGGTGGTGGAGGTATATGCGTCTGTTCTTGTTGGTGAAAGAGAAGATGGAAGGGGGTGCTTAGGATTGTCTGTACTTCGGATTCAAATGTTTTAGCCGTTAAATTTTTGTTTGAAAAATACAAAAATAAAGATTTAACAGTTAAAACGTTTGGAGTACCAAAAATTTTTGGTTGCTTATTAATTCATCTGGGCGTGTTGCGTAAATGGACGTGTTGCAAGTTGTCTAGAGTGTATCGACTTCTCTCTCTCCTTTTCTTTTCATTTGGGCATGTTGTACCCTTTCTTGTGCTTGCTGGCCCTGTTCGGCTTTTCAATACGATCACTTTGGACAACAACAAAAATCTGTGGGAAGCTGGTATAAATAGGTACCGAAATTTTACGATGTCACATGTTTTACAATTTTATGTTGTAGTTTTTTTTTCACATTTTTACTAACAGTTCAAGCGTAACCTCTATAAAGCATTAGAAAGTACTTTTACGAATCATAAGCACTTTACAAATATTTTTCGAAGTCAGAACAAGTCACCTTAGACCGAGATTTGGTATTGGATTGGACTGATTTACATCGGCTTGGCACCTGTATATGTCTAAAGGTTGGATTTAAATCCCACTAATTTTGGATTTAAACCCACCAAAAAACAGACATGAATCATGTCCAATTTAATCAGGCTTATCTTATCCAATCCGGTCTACTGAAACAAGGCCTAGGCTACGGCACTTCTATAGTCGCATTTTGGGTTCATACAAGTGCTTTTAGAAGTTTTGACATTGCTTTTAAAATGATAAAAGCAGCTTATAATAGCAAAAACATTTCTGATTGTTTATGAGTTATGGTAAAAAAACTTAACGTATTTTGGCTCAAATAAGTGGTTTTTGGAGAAGATTTTCAATAAAATTTTCAATGTTTGTAGAAAAGAAGAATCCTGAATAGAATGTTAGAACTTTAAAAGCATGTCCTACAATGCATACAATCTATGTAGATGATTATTATATTGGAGGACCTCTTGATCACTACCACCTTTCTAATGGTTTTTGTTTCCGGAAACTACTCTAATCGACCACTATTTTCTCAAAGTGCATGAAATACCACTATCGCAGTGGAAACTATTCTAATCTACCACCAACAATGGCTCTCTCCGTCGAGATGTCAAATCCACCAACACTGGCGGTGCCAAGTACAAGGTTTTCCTATAGCATAGCGAGAGTTTTCATTCATTGTGCTTAAAAATATTAATTTTTGGCTATTTTACGATTTTTAATTATCATATTCCACTTAGCAAATGAAAATTTTGAATCTTAAGGTGCTTTTAAGGAAAATAAGAGCTAACAAATTTTAAATAAACTCATCACTTTAACCAATATTATAATTTAAATAGTAATAAATTAAAACTTCCATGACACAAATGGTTTCTTATTTTATTCACTTAAAAATTTTGAAGGCTAGAAGCCTAGAAAACATAGTATAAATTTCTTGCTTCAAATTATTACTTTCAAGTTTACTATTATATAACATTATATAGGCAACAAAAGATTAAAAATTTGAGTTCGTAGAAATAATTTTAGCTTAATCCACTCACAGAATAATTTCTGGCTACGTCATTGCTAACTAAGACTAAAATACATCAGCTTTTCTCTAATGAAGATGCCATAATTGACATGGCAACTAGGTCATTTGGCTCATTGTTTTATAGCAGTCTTTTTTAACAACAAACAAAGATGGAGTCAGTTTTATTATTTAATGTGGGTGTCCGATCATTCACAAATAGGTTACAACTTTTATCTATTTTAAATTATTATTATTATTTTCTTAACAGCGGTTGTAGCAAAGAGATTTTTTGAATGTAACCATCACACGAATTAGTATACCATGTGTCCTTATATAAATGGTGGGTTATGTATGTTAAAAGGTTAATAACTTAAAAATTAAAAAATTTCACTATTTGCATGAAAACACGTGATATACCATCCGTGTTACCGTCACAACTAAAAATTTATTCTTATAGTGGGACCAATATATAATAAAACAATAATTTAACACTCCAAAATGCTGACTTCAGCCTTCAAATAAAATTTTGACATTTCAATTAGAGATGCTCTGTAAACTAAATGATGTGTCACAATAAGAAATAAATATGTTAATCAACACTTAAGTAATAATCCAATAATCAACTTTTATGTCATTTAATTTATAAAATTTAGTATCCCTAACATTAATTACCCAAGTGAATTTCACAGACTCCTTTCTACTTTATACACATTTTTGTTAATTTTTTTCTATTGATATTCCTCAATTCATTCGAATTGATGATTGAAAAGTAAAAGAGATGTGTGAAAAATAAAAATAGATGTGTGTGGGTCCATCCTTTCTCAAAAATATAATCTCTAGTTCAACCACGTGATAGAAGGTGAACCTTTATAAACTCCAATAAAACCTAACCATACAATTCACATGATAAAAGCAAATCACACAATTCACATGATAGGAGCTGGCCCTTTGTAAATACCAATAAAAACTAAGGAACTAATCACACAATTCACAGGTCCCAACCCCGACCGATGAGAGGCGCGCACCTCCCGTACTCAATTTCTGCTTCCGCACCTGACTTGCTTTTGCCTACATAAAAGATTCAGTTGGTCCAAAAACTATTCAAAAAATGGAAGAACTTACATCCTTTTGTTGTTCACCCACTTCCTCACCCACATTTCAACGTCGTGTGCAGTTCATAGTTCAGAACAGGCCTGAATGCTGGCTCTATGCAATTTTCTGGCAAGCCTCCAAAGACAGCATCAGTGACCAAGTTGCGTTATCATGGGCTGGTGGCCATTTAAACAACCCTAGGGTTCGCGTGCCATCCAACAGAAGCAACAGAGTGATCACCAATAACTACCAACCCAAATTAGGGTTCAGCAATATGGAGAAAAAGAAGACGGCGATAATTAGCAAGAGAGATGAAGACGTGGTGGACTTGGACATGCGGCTGCTGGCCGACAATCATGACGGCACTGGCGATGCTACTCATGACTCCGACCGGTTTTACTTTTACGGCGTTTCGTTAACCCAATCTTTTGCTGCAGGCCAAGCGAGTAAAAATATTCTGGGACGTGCATTTTGTTCTGGTGGTTTTGTTTGGCTTGCAGGTGGCCATGAGCTTCAGTTGTACGAGTGTGAGAGAGTGAAGGAAGCAAGAATGCATGGGATTCAAACTTTGGTTTGTATTACTACTTCATGTGGGGTACTTGAACTGGCTTCTTTGGATGTAATCATGCAAGATTGGGGTCTCGTGCACCTATCAAAATCACTCTTTGGATCCGACCAGAAGAACAACAAATTTAAATTACTAGTTCCTGATCCCCTAGAAAAGATTGGATTTCTTTCAGGAGGTCAAAAAGAATTCACCATACAAGGTAATAACCACCAATTATTTACATAGATTTCGGGTGCGCCTCTCTAAAAATATGTCATTATGCACTTTTTTTTTAATTAAATTTTTCTTTGTGATTTTATAACTTTGTAAATGCATGATGACATTTTTGAGTGTTAATAATAATTCTTTTAAATTATATTAAATTAAAAAGTGTGGTTTTTTACTTGGTACCAAAGGCTAGCCAGCTGGTCGACAATATGTAATTTAAGTATCGATGTTTATTAATGATATGAACGACATTTTTTATAATTGATAAAGTGTCGATTTGTTGATAAATTGAATAGTCGGACATGCAACATGGTTAGAATCTAAGAAGAATATTCGCAATGATATGGTCAACTAGTTATTTGTACCGAATAATCTTTTCTGTATTGATAAAATTTATCAGTAGGAAATTAGATTGTCATCTTTAAATAAAAGCATTATTATTACTACTGTTATTTACTTTGGTTGTGGTAAGTCTTTGTTCTTGAAACCTTAAACCCTAAACATTCACAGGATTCTTTATTCAAACCCTAATTTTTTTGTTAACACCAATATTTTATTATTTTTTTACCAGAAGGTGGTGCAAATGAACCCATTATCCATACAGACGGGTCATCAACAGGCTCATCTTATGACTCTTTTGGCAATTTCACCCCTGCGAATACAGAGAACCCTCAATCAAAAAAGAGGGGAAGATCATCATCTTCAAACCATGGAGCTACAAGTAGAGAATCACAACTACTGAACCATGTTGAGGCAGAAAAACAAAGGAGGGATAAGCTCAACCATCGAATATGTCTCCTTCGTTCTATTGTTCCCAACGTGTCGGAAATGGACAGGTCCTCTTTGCTCGCTGATGCCGTGGCGTACATGAACCAGCTCAAAGGTAAGGTTGACGAACTGGAGGCCAAAATCCAAGCACAACCACCACAAAAACCCCTACTCACTAGCCAAAGCACCAGATCCATAACTGATGAACATCATCAATGTTCAAGTTGTAGTAATAATTATAGTAACAACAACAACCACAACAATAATAATGATAATTTAAATTTGAATAATAATAACGATAAGGTTAGAGGAACTAATGTTTTGGAAGTGGATGTGAAGATTGTGGGATCAAATCAAGCCATGATTCGAGTTCAGTGTCCGGATCAAGACTACCCTTATGCTAGATTGATGAATGCACTCAAAGGACTTGAGTTACAAGTTTACCATGCGAGCATATCAAGTGTCAAAAAGTCAATGATTCAAGATGTTGTGGTAGGACTGCCTTATGGCTTCACTAGCGAGGAGGCCTTGAGACTTGGTATTATAAAAAGATGGTACAACTAGAAGAGATTTTGTGTGATGAGAACACGACTCTGCACGTATTAAGTGTAATAATACAATTGGTTGAAAACTTTAAAAAAAAAAATTCAACCAATTGTATCTTAATGTGCCTGATCATGTTCCCGCAGATTGAAAAACTTCTCTACAACTAGATCTCGATATTTCAATTCAAAAGCGTAGGTAATTAATGAGGATAATGTTTCTCCATTGAGTATCCCACTCCACTTCTTTTGTAGTGTTTGTTGTAGCTTTTCTTATTTACTTAAACTCAGGTACATAGTCGAGCATAATCCGCTCTAACTAACATATGATATCGTCAACCTTTTTTAGCTTATTTAAACTTGGTGCAAGTTGTTTATTTAGTGAGATTTAATATGTTATACTAGTTGAAGTACCTTAACTTTCTATTTATTTAATATGTAGTGTGCCCCACCAAATTATGACTGTAAGCGCCCACCACCATCGTTGTCACTTTCCCCATAAGGTTCTGTTATACAAAAACATATTTTTGTAACTTGTAATACCGTCAAGAGCCCTTGCATGTCAAGGAACAAACAAATCTTGGCCCTCGTCGCCATTCACACAGAATCACCGATCACGCGACAGCACCTTTTGTTCAACATGCACAGACTCCACGTGCCGCATATCCAATCTCCACAACTCGCCACGTACATCTAAGAGTCGGTTAATCTGAAACTGAAACTAATGAAATCAAACGCATCAAAACGAACCAGTTAATTCAATCAATAACCAAAAAAAAAAAAAAAAAAAAAAAAAAAAAACAGAAGATGGCGTCGGCGTTGAAGATGAACACAGTGTTTGCCTACACGGTGGTGTACGTGAAGGACGTGGCTCTATCCACCGCCTTCTACTCCAAAGCCTTTGGCTACAATATTCGTCGCTTGGACGGCTATAACAGGTGCAAAAATAGTTAGGGAATGAATTTGCACACTCATTTTTTTCTCGTTTCAATTATTTGTTATTTACTTATTAATGAGTTATTTCTGAATATGCGTGGAGTTACGGATTGATATTTTTATCTGGTCCTAGTTAATAATGTTCATTGACTTAAACCATATTAGTTTTTAGATTTTGATCCAAATCTCTAGCATTAATGTAATAATGAATTTAAATGTCAGTTACATAATTTTTTAAAAATAAAAATTAATAATTGATTTAGAATTTTAATACTCACACCTTTATTAAACTCCTAACTAATTTTCAATTCAAAATATTTCCAAAATAAAGTAAAAATTAGAATAAGTTTGTACCCATTAGCTTAAAAAAAAATGTTTTCAATTTTTTAATCTTATATGTACCACGTAATTTTTTCAAAATTTTAATCTTAAAATGTAATGTTTCTTCAATATACAAATTTGTTATATGTAAAATGTACCATTTTTTTATATAAAATCTATTTAAATTTTTTAAAATTCATTTTTAAACTTATATGGGTACATTCTTTTTTCTCTGATTTGAGAATGTATCCATGTCAAGTTTAAACGAAGAAATTTATTAATGTTATTAAGCCTAATATTTTTTTTTTAAAATTTTGAAGAATGTACCCAGGTTTATATACACACACAATAGTATATTTATATTTTAATATTTTTAATCCCACAAATTATGGGTTTTTATTTAAAATCTCATTAATATAAACAATTATAAATTTTAATTTTCAATTTAAAAAAAAGTAATATACATAGAAATAAATTATCACATTAATTTCAACGCCTTCGATCAAAATTGAAAACCAATGTTTCAGTTAAAGAATATTTATAGCTACCGACCACATCCAAAGTCTTCCTATTTTTTATTTATTCCTTTTTTATTGTTTAAATTGGGTTTGAGCAGAGGGCGGTGGAGAATGGGGCGGTGCCGGTGAGCCAGCCGGAAGAGAGAAAGTGGGGTACGTAAGAGATCTCTTGATGGGATCGTGGTGAGGTTGGGAAGCTATGTCAATCCACCAAAAAAGCAGTGATCCTGTTACTGAGATAATCATGAATAAATGAATCTGTAATATGTTTTTTTCCCAGTTTTATGTTCGAAATTTTAGATAAACGAATCGTGTGTTTACTTCCAACTGGTAGCTTGCTTGCTTACCGGGTATATGTTCATCGTTCATTATGCGGTCAGTTTTCGTTAGATACTATTTATATTTAATTTAAATTTTAAAATTTAAAATGATTTCTAATCGCACGATATACGATGAACAACACACGATTGATTGATCATCCGGATCATCATAAAAAAGATCCGGAGGGGATCCTATTCCATTATATGCATCATGTATGTCATTTCCCAGTTGAGTCCGAAAACTTATTTGCTAAGGCCTCCATCCATATAGACTGTCCTAATTTAAAGAATGAATTTGGCCCGAAAACTTATTTGAGTCTAAAAATTCTAATTCGAGATTATTAAAGAAAATTTATTTGAGTAAAAAAAAATTAGCCTAAGATTATTAAATAATGAATTTGAGATAATTTTTTTTTCTTAAAATAACTTTTAAAAGAAAAATTATGTAGACTATTCTAATTTAATTTTATAATTATTTTAACTAAAAATATTTAAATTTCGATAAATATTGAAAAATCACTAAATCGATACAATGAAACTAGTAGAACACTATGAAAGAATATAGAACACATGAAAGGTTTTTTATTTTTTTAATTGTTTTAGTTATTAGATTTAAATTTGGACCGTTTAATCTTTTTTATATCATTGAATTTAATCATATAAGATCTTCGCTATTAGATTCAATGAGTTTATAAATATAGAACTAAAAAAAATATAAATATATGGTGGGTCAATTCACTAACTTAAAAGGAAATCCTGATCTAAATTTGATCCAAAAAATGAGTTTTGAACTAAAAATTCATATTTAGCCCGAAGATTGGAGCAAGTCAAAGTAGATTTAGATTTAGAACCTCAAGCCAAAAGGCTAAATTTTTACTACTCCAAGAGTTGAAAGCATGTCTCAGTAACACTGTTAAATTTTCAACGACAGGACTAAAAACCAAAATTGTTGATTGGAAGATATGAACCGTTGCCATAATTATTGCAATTGTCAAAATATTTAATTATCGGCCAAAAGCTTCAGTACAACATATCCGTACATAGTAGAACATCCATTTGCATGGACATCCACCATTTTTATACATGTGAGTCCACGTGAAATGCACGCAAACGGCCAAGAACCTAGTGATTTTGTTTGTGAAATACGAGTTAAACCAGAACGATGATATTTGTTGGAGCCAAATTCGCGAAAATCATGGTCCCACAATGTCGACTATAAATTGAAAACGACATGAAGCTCGAATCCAATCCATCAAGCAAAACCAAATGAAAGGTAAGCAAGGTACCAGATAATTGAATACAGAGATGTTCCATGTTTTAACAATTACTAGACGATGAGAAGAAAAAGAAAGAAGAAGAAGAAGAAACCAACAGAAAAAACCAAAAAAGCAGAAAAAAAAACAGCAAAAAGAAATAAAGATATTTTGGGTGAGAAAATCAATGACATTCTACAAGGGCAAACGCTTTTGCCAATTCACACCTCCTCTCACGCACTTGTGCAGAGAAAATGTTCAACTTGGTAGCAAACATCATATTTGATATTTCATAGCATCTCCTGTGATTTCCTCACGCAGCGGCTGACCTTTTTCTTGAATTCCTCTCTCCGATCTCTCCACTGTTTCTGCAATATTCACATCTCCAAATATTCAGACAACCACAACAATTATGTGCCTTAGTCGCTGCTTAGTCAGTCACAACAAGTTCATTATATCAATATATCAGATACCAACTATGTGCAAAAGAAAGAGAACGAAAATGGTACACACATTATCAACTAGCAGAAAAAAAAAACTAGCTTCAACAAAAATTGCCACAAACACAATCAGCCATATATTAGTCTCGCGGCAGCAGGCTCAAAATATGTTCCAATGTGCTATGTTACTATGTATAAAGCAGTCCACAAATCGGAACATTGGGTGTCTACATTTACCTAACTTGTCTTGCGGGACCAAGTGAACTTATAAAGAATGTCATCCAACAATATAATTACGTTAATCTCTACCATATGAAAAACTCGTGCAATTGAGATATATTGCTTCTCAATATAACTTTAGCTGTCAATGCGGAGCATGTTTATAACATTCAGCATCAAGTAGAGTAGTTCAGAAAACAACATTAGATTGTGACAACACTTTTAAACAAGGATAATAAAAATGCAAAACTTCATTCAACATTTTGCTGGATAATTGATATCATTGATTATGAAATGGAAACATTCCACATATTGATAATGCAGACAAAACATGTATTTATTTAACATTAAAAAGAAAATGAAAAAACTTTTTAAATTTGCACCTTCTACAACCTTGCTTTTTTGAAAGAAATAGATTAGCTTATTACACAATTGCTTCTTACTCAAAATTCACAAAAATTATAACGGAGAAAAACCACAAGTTTTAACCAGCAGGAAATATGAAACTTGCCAAATGACAGCAGGATATGATACCACTGAGACAAGCTCCTCCGGACTCCAGTGGAAGAGCCCCAAGGTCAGACATCAAAGCCGTATTA